TTCGGAACATATGAAAGCAGTTCTATATATAGTCCAGAACCGCTTCCAACCGTTCTGAGCTATATATAAGCGCTAAGTTATATATAGTCCGGAACCGCTTCAAACCGTTCGGCGCTCTATATAACTCAAACCCTTTATATGTAGTCCGGAACCGCTCTGAACCGCTCTGAGCTATATATAGGAATACCCATTTCTCAATTTATACAAAAAACAAGGGACATAACTTAACATAACAAAAATACATAATAAGTTATAGTTATTTCAGCTTTTGAAAACAACATAACTCCATAGAAAACAACACAACATAACTTAACTTAACTCCATAGCAAAACAGATTCCAAATACTCCACCAAAAGTTCAAGAAACGCAACCTTTAATCATCTAGTGGCCAGGGCCTAGCCACTTGGCTGGCCGGCTGACCAAAGGCAGTAAGACTTAAGCTCAAGACAACCAAATCTAATACACACACAGTACTACAGTACTAGTACAGTATGTATACATTAAGAAGCAAGTCAGAATTGGCTTGAATGAGCAGCAGAAGCAAAACCAAACATAAACGGTCACGAGTCCCCAGTCACCAGTTAAAACTCCAGCCGCTAAGTTCGAAAGCCACATCGGCATCAAGGTCGCGTCAGTACAAGAAACCTCCTATTCCATGCATTGGTTGACGCAATCTGATCTGAAGGAAAAGGAGGTAAGTAAGGTTCGAGGTAAGGAGGTAAGGAAGCACGCGTCTGTTGTGGCACCCCGCATTTTAAGTTGCGTGTAAAGACATGAGAGAGCACGCAAACAAAAGAAACATTAACGGACTGACAAGCCACCCTATCCTCAGTATTTGTTGTAAGAAGGAGAGTGTGAGGAGAAGGCAAAGGAAGGAGGTAAGTACCGGTCAGCATTTACAAACACGTGGCGTGCACGCGCATTTTTTTAACGGGCCAGCCAGCGTTCCACTGCACTGCATCACTGCATCCCAATTGACCCCGGTGCTTATAGTGGCACCTCATCTTGAAAGCCACGGGTAACCAATAGAATTAACTTAACGTCGTTCTTTAAAGACAATGCCTTCGTCCAGTAGACGTTGCCACTGAGTAGGGATCTGACGGGTGGATTTTGCTGCACAGACTGTTTTTCTCAGAAGTGAAGTACTATGGACTCTTGATTTCCAGGTTCTTGGGCTTGCAAAACTCCCAGTATCTCATTTAGCGACTGCACTCCGAAACAAGAAACAAGGACCGCAACTTGGACCCAGACACTGATTTGTGCCTGGCCGACCTGGCAAGTTCCTTGTCAGCAGTACTCTGAAGTTTGTTCACACCGCCTGTTGGCCATTGTATAATTATTCACTCACTGACTGAGGGAGTGCTCCAAGACTTTGTGTTGGAGTGAGGGGGTCACTGTCCGCCATCACCACTCATGTGAAATGGTGGGACTTTGCAAACAAGTCTATGCTGAGTGCTGAGGACTTGTGTTTATGCACGGTTGAAGGGTTAGAAGGGTAGACGGTAGACGGATGGTTAAACAGTGTTTTTGGTGTCAAGTCAAGTAATATAATTTTGCGAACTTCTGAATTGCAACAGGATTTGTTGGCCTTGCAGGGGTTCGACTTGCAAAAAAATTACAGTCGGCGGCTTCACCTATTCGGACTTGAACGAAATCATTGGAAACTTGCTTGCCAGCACATGGCCACCTCAGTTGGCCTTCCTAAGTGTTGGAAGCAGTGGGGTTGTAAGTTGCACAATTGACAGTGTAACAGAATACATCGATTTTTAAGTATATTTTTCTTGGTCATTGGATGTGATGTCTCGGATGTGATGCTATGGATTAAGGAAATGCTTGGTCAGTGCCTGCTGCTGGTTCTGTAATCTTCGCATTGGTCACCTGCGTTTTTCCTTGCAAGACTGGGGGCCCGGCAAAGCCTTTGACAACTCCTCAGCCCCTTCTGAACAGGTTCGGCAAGTATGGTTCTGTGACTGAGCCTTCTGAAGCGCAACCTGCTGAGGACAATGAATCCTCCTCGACTTGGGAGATCTTAGACACCTCTCCGGATGAGGAAGAGACTGACCAGACGGACCAGAAGTGTACTAAGAAGGGGGGAGCGTTCACGATCTATTCTTAGCCAGATGCTCAGCACTAGCAAGCCCAGTGAAGTGCCCATCGCCTTGGAGCCCGGCCAGACGTCTACGGTCCATCCCCAGGATGACCTGTCCAAACTCTTGGACTCCGTGGACGATGGCAACGATTCTCAGTTTCCTTAGCTGACTGACAAACAGTCAGCAGTCAGCATTAGTAGCATCAATGCCAATGGCATTGCCTCCGCCTTTTGTCTGTAGGACGTTTTGAACAGGGGGGCAGTGCAGTTTTGATTTTGAACCTGGTTTGCCTGCTCAAGATGCAGTAACTTGAAGGATCCCAGGCCCGCTCCTGGACTCCTTAGTCTGGAAAGGCCGCCAAATCTACCGATCTGAGAGTTGAGGAGAAATCAATCTATTTCGAGGGTGAGGCCACGGCCATTCTAACATTTCATGGTCAAGTCATGGTCCTGGTCCATTCATGGTCAACTGCCACATTCCGACCCTTTGACAATTGGTTGAGGGTTGAGCTCGGTTGAACGTTGCTTGGTGTGAGACGGACAGAAGGAGGGCGGCAATCAGATGTTGTTCAAGGCTAGTCGTTCTTTTGACTTCACTCCGTCTTGGCCCTGACTTTTGGACATTCGAGGCTTGTGTTGACTTGTAGTCGTAGTTCTTGCGTGACTTGACTTGCTGTTGCTTGACGGCCAGCCATGTCTTTGGTGCATAAGGGCGGCGAACCTGTTGAGCAGGAGGCGGTGACAGAAGACCAGGAAGCGAACATTCCTTTTGAGGAATGTACCTGCCCTGCATGCCAACAGAAATTTGGCTCACAAGACAAGGTCAGCTGATGTTTTTGCATTTGAGTCACATGTTGTCACATGCATTCATGTTGCATGTTGAACTGAAATTCAGTTGTCATGGGAAGCGATTCAATCAGTCCTGTTTGCAGGACGCGCCGCCAGGTTCTGTTCTTTTGGTGACCGCTTCGAAATGCGCCAGTGACAACTGCCGCGTCCTGTGTCTACGATGCTTCTACATCAAGCGGGGATCGTTTGCCAAGTTGACCTTGATGGAATTCCTCACCATGCTTTACACAGTCAAGGCTTTGTTCGCAAAGCTTCTCATTTGGCATTTTTTGTTTTTGAACGCTTTGTCAGCTTTGTCATTGTCTGTTGTGTGCTGGTCCTGGTCAATTTTGGTCAGCCAACGCCAGAGTCATCATTCATCAGGTTTTGCACTCTACGTCGCCGACATGTGCACCAAACGGCATTGAATCCACGTGCCAGGCCTAGGCACGAAAGCATCGATGTCCGTTTGTACACTGAGAAAAAGAAATCAGATTACCTTGATTTCTACAACGATCCTTGTCTTGATGTGTTGGTTTGGACATTCCAAACATTTTACATCAATGAGACGGGACGGGACTGACAACCTTTTGACATGTGCTCAAAGGCTGCTTCTTTGAGTGTGCATTGTACTTGTACCCACCTTTTTCCTACAACCGTTGCTTTGGCCTGAACCTGAGGAGGGAGAGTGGATGAGCGTGGATGATTTTTTTCCAAGAGAAGGCTCCAGCGGACGTTAAAAAACGCGTGAAAACCTTGGCTGCCAAGAAGAACTGGCTGGTGAAAGAAGCTCAGCCTGCAGTCACCTCTTCCAGCCTAAGTTAGCTATTTTATAGCTACAGGCTAGCCACCGTCCCTTTGACCCTCGTCCATGTCCGTGACACATTGGAAAAACATCCGCATCTCATCCCTAGCCCAAGCTCAGGAGAAGGGTCTGGTCATCCAACAGGACCCTGGGTGCCGCATTGTTTTGTTTCAGGCCACAGGTCAGTCAAAACTACAGCTTTCGACCTCACCCTTTCTGTAGGATGACCGTGGAGTGGATGGAGTCATCATCATGCCAGATAACAAAAAGCGGAAGGTTCGTGTTGGTGCAAAAATGGAGAGCTCTTCAATCAAACGGTCCGAGTTCGAGAACCATGCGGAGCGTGACGAGAAGCAGAAGAAAAAATGCACAATCTTTTGCAATTCAGTCCAATGACAAGGCCAGAATTCATGGGTTTGACCGGGGGTTGCAATGCCCACCACAGGTTTAGTTGGGGGGCACACAAACAACTCAGGGAGCTGAGCAAACTCATATGTTTTCCTGAGTAGTTAGGTGCTTGCATCTCTTTTCCCTCCCCCTCTCCATTGTCATCAGAAAGTGGACAGGACGTGGTGGACAAGGCCATGTCGGAAGAGCCCGAGGAGGCTGTGGACCCCATTGAGGAGATGCCCAGTGAAGCCGAATCTGATGCATCCTCCGGCAGTGGTTTCTTTGGGGTCAAACACGCGAAGCCTGTCAAGGAGAAGCAGCCTGATGCCAGGACAGCACCATCGAGAGGTCCTGTGAAGCCTGAGGCAGAAGAAAAAAAAACATGAGAAATTGTTGGCGAAGGCCAAGTCGACCCTTAGCACATTGGAGGCATTGTCTCCAATGGCCATTTGGCAGGGCACTGTGAAGGAAAAGGACATTGGAAGCCGATTGGAAAAGGCCGGCCAGGTCATCACCAGCCTTGAGAAGGATGGCCGTGATGATGCCAAGTCTCTCATTGCTGATTTGCAGACGTCCATGATGGCTGCCGAGACCCATGTGCAGCTCCTTTGCACAGATATGGCCTATGACTCTCTGGACGAGTTGGACAAGATTTTGCCACATGTTGTCGACAAGGTGGCCAAATTGCCATCAGACTGCTTGAATGCCATCATGAGTGATATTGGCAAAAAAGTGATCCAGGACTGTGCAACCTCTTTCGTCCTTTCATCTTTTCACTGTTTGCCTCTCCTGGTTGGGCCCAATCAGAAATGGGTACCCGCCAGTCTCCAATCAAATTAGCATCCCTTCCGACAGTGTTGCAAGACTTCTGACTTGACTTGACTGCAGGACTTGGCTCAGGGGTCCGTGGCAGATACCTTTTTCTTCGACTTCATCAGTTCGGATGATGCGGATGTGAATGCCAAGGATAAGGGGCTTTCATTGCGGGCTTTGCTCTGTCGGCGCGATTCTTGTTCTATGAGTCTGGTGGACTTGCTGAAGCTTCAGTGCTCACTTGGCAACGCATGGATGGACAAGATTAAGTCATTGCAGCCACAAGACGTGGACAAGTTTCTGCGTTCAATTCCTGGCAAGCTGTGGAATCCAGAGCTTGCGAGGCCAGAGTTGTGAAGTTACGCTCAGGGGGAACAGGGCATGTTGCTTGTAATGTCAGAAGTTGTGGAGTTGTGGCCGGGTCAGGGGCGGGGCCATGTTCATTGTCCAAATGCAGTTGTTTCCTTCCCTGCAGGAAATGTGCAGAACATCCCACTAGCGATGCCCTTCACGAAGACTACAAAGTGCTGAGTCCCAGGGTCGTCATTGACCTTCACAAGTTCCTGAGCTGTGCCAAAGTTTTGGATGAGAAGGAACCATTTGGCATTGAGCTGGTCAGGAGCCTGAAGACCATTGCGGCTCTGGCAAGTGCCACTTCACCTCGTGTGAACTTGATGTTTCGGAGCAATCCGCGTCCGAGGAGCCCACAATGTTCAGTTCTCCCTGGTCTGGTCTGTAGCCGGCAAGGCCAATTTGTTTTATTCTAATCATAACTTAACTAAATTAGACGTTACATTTTTGACATTTGGCAACTCACATTTGGGCAGGAGCCTTTGGCAACAGGCCTTGACAGCTTCTCAGAATTCCATCTCTGAGGAGAATGCTCTTGCAGAGTGCGACACAATGGTTTCAGACTTGACAGTGCTGGGTGAGCTGCTCCAGCAGTTTGCGAAGGACAAGAACACTCCGGCCCTGGAGCAGGCAGAAACTCAGATCCAGAAATGCCAGCGAGCATTGGACCTGGTGAGCATTTGCAAGACTTCGACGCATGAACTTGCTCCTGGGAAGGTTGAGTCTTTGACGCGAGCAGTGACACTACTTCAAGAGACAGTCAATGGCACGTTGCGTGCATCTGACAAGTTCAGGTCCTTCGTGGAATCACTTTGGGCTGCGGCTGACGACCTCACAGTGCCTGATGCTACAGTGGCATTCAGCAGTGGGGACCAGGAGGTTGAGATGAATGTGAGATGCTTTTTTGGGATTCCTGACTGTTGAAGGTGAGGGTGGGTCAGGGTTGCCAAACTGAAACTCCGATTTTATGATGTGCAGTGATGATGTGTATTTACTGGTTCAAGTTTAAGGTTTGTTGGAGTAGTGGCTGGGGCATATAATTTCCATAAACCTGCAGGAGCTGTCCAAACACGAGTTCTTCAGCTTGCAGGCGACAACAGCTTTCTGCAGGAAACAGCGCAGGCCCTCTATGACTACATTCTTGCTTGTCCCAATGCCGAGTCTTTGGCTTTGCGTGCGTGCTGTGACTTTGCATCAAAACTTGAGAAGTTGGCTGCCAGGATCACTGCAAAGGAAGTGGCCCAGGATGGTTGGGCTCATGCATTTTTGACAGCCGTGAAGCGCTTCAACACCAATTTGGAGGCGCTTGCTTCCAAGTGGATTGCAGCTGTTTTGCAGGAGAAAGGTGCCGATGCCGCTTGGGGCTATGTCAATGGCTGCCTCCCGAATCTTCCCAAGTACTTGAAGTCTCACCAGTCCATCTTGATGCAAGCTTCGTTTCTGGAAGGGCTCACTCAACCGAAGGCCACAGATGACCTGAGTGAGTTGTCAAAGCAGTTGAAGGCTTATGTCACCATCAAGACATCCATTCAGCACAAGGCCTTGAGTCAGCTCTTCCCTGAGCGCTTGGAGAAGGTGGTGGAGTTTGAGGACCACACGTCCAAGAACATCATCACATTCTTGCAGAGGTTCCGGAAGTCCGAGACCAACAAAGCCAAGGTCCACATTGACCAGCACAGGCGGACTGTGTTTTTTCAAGTTGGGATTCGGGATTCGGGTGTTCAAGTTTTTTGTTATATGTTTAGACTCAGACTGAGTGGGCTTTGTCATGCCAAATGTTTTTCCAAACATTGAGTTATGGAAGGCCAGTGCTTGCTGCTATTGAGATGTGGCAGCTGGATGAGCATAAGTGGATGTTCCAGGAGGAGAACAAGGATGCCCAAGCGCTGATTGAACTGCTCATGGACTTCATGGAGAGGACGTTGCCCCACTGCACATTCTTGAGAAACTCTATGGCTTTGAAGACACCTTCCTTGAAGTCCGATCCTGTGATGTTGGAGCTGTCTCAGACACAGTCAGATTTGGAGGCTGGTTGCTGTTCAAAAACTATAAACAAATTGTCCCTCCATCCCATCACTGCTTATCTACACTTGACTAAGTCAATGTTGTTCAACTCTGTTGATAGGAACTTCGAGGCGTGGCCAAGAACCAGATTGCCTTCATTGGTTGCACCCAGACAGTGGTCGAGTATGAGAGCGCACCACCGGAGGAGCAATTGAAAGCGGCCAGGGAGTCAGCCGGCTTCATCAGCAAGAGCCTTGGGATGTCTGTGAAGGACTTGCCCGATCAGCTGAGGACAAGGTTCGAGTTGTTGGGAAAGAAGCTGCCTTCTCAACCAGAACCAAAGCGGAGGACAGCTAAGCGGACACCACCGGCTGCTGGTGCCGGCGCCAAGGCCGAACCCAAGGTCAAGGCGGCAAGAAAGAAGAAGGGTGAGGCTGCAATCTGAAGAGTTTTGAGTTCGGGCTTAGATTCTTAAATCAGCCATTTTTGAGCTGAGCATTTTGGGGTGCAAACAAATGATGTTTGCAAAGAACTTCTTTCAACTGTAGTGCGGAGTGCCACAGAAAGGTGTGCAAATTGAGCAAGGGACCTCTTAGAGAGGAGAAAAAAAGGGTTCTCAATTTTGGACCGCCTGCATTAAGGTCAACACATTTTTTTGGACAAAGCAGGTCCTGGTGGTTTATATACAGTCCACACATTTTATATATAGTTCCTGTATGTTCCTGTATATTTATATATAGTTCCTGTATATTTATATATAGTTCCAAGGTACCAACAGACAAAGAGGCCCACGCACCCCCCCAAAACATAAGATATAAAAAGTAGTAAATGTGGCCAAAAGTT